GTTATCTTCAACCCCTTGTTATTGCATCGTTGGGATAATGAGTGGCTGGAAGTGCATGGTTATCTAATGGATAATCGGTGGTGTCGGATGAACCTCGACGGGTATCGATTAACCTATCGAAGGCATAACGAGTACCGAGTGATCGGGCATTGTCTCCTCACGCTAGCACTCATGACATCACATGACACTTTACAATTAAACTTTCGTTTTTGTTTCCATTCAATGCGTAACGGGTATCAATTTTTTATCAACTGGGATTCGTGTTTCAAAACTTTGGGGTGATTGTACATGAAAAAAATAGATGCTTGTAAATAAAAATGAAATGGAGGAAAACTGAGACTGATCACGAGAGAAGGCGTGAAGGGTGTCGTATAACTGTTTCAAATTAATAGCAAGAGTTACTTTTTTTTATATTTATTTTTTAGGTAAACCAAAGGCAATCACGAAATACTAGGTGAATTAATGGAATTAGTGGAGTTTTGGTCCAATATCCGAGCTAATGTGTCTCGTCCTTGATGGGGGAACCCCCATGGCGATAGTGTGAAAACAGTCACACGTTTGCCCCCCAACCTTCCACTAGTTTTGCCCTTATACCCGTCGGGCTCACATCTCTCTTCTCCATAAGAGAAATATTATTATTGTGTGGACTTTTGGTCCTGCCACATCGATGGACAAAAAAACTATTGCGGAAACAAGTGACAGCTAGGGGCTTCGCAAATTGCCTGCCAATTACGCACTCGGTATTGTTTTGCTTTATTCTTTGACTAGTCCATAGAAAAATAACTCAAGATATTATCATTCCATTTGATAGTTATATTATCACAAGAAATATTTTCACACCCAAAATGTCAATTCAGGCGAGTAGTTCTTCACGTATTCGAAAGATTGGAATTTCATCATGAAATTTTTTAAATTATTCTATCATTCTAGAATCTCAAAAAAAAATCCTTGAATTTTTCCTTCTTCATTGTACTGTATTTTTCTTTCAGCAATAGGAAAATTTCATTTTTAAAACAAGGAATTGCTGATGGCGGGAAATCATATAAGATCAGATGAAAGACACACGTGAATTAAATTTAATGGTTGTGAAAAAAACTTGCAGTGAGGTTCTTGATCCCCCAGAAAGTTGAGCGTAATTCATCAAAAACTCGTGAAGTGCCAGAGGGAGTCGTAAGAGAGCAGGTGTCATGGCACCTTGGCACTAATGATCCCGACCCACCATGAAATTAATCATCTCCTTTGTCTTGTGTACGTTGACCATCTCGAAACAAATATTTTTGATATAAGGGTGCTCTAGCATTCGTCATTTTGTCTCCATTGTTCATATATTGATTTTCCGTCTCTTCCAAATGAAAACAAAATGCCGAAAATCAGAAGATACACGAGGTAGAAGTAGCAGCCTGATGTAAAAAAATATTGTATCCAGGCATGTGTCGTCAAGCGACTCTTCATCTTTTCTCATATACAAAACACGCGTGTCAAACATTAAAGCCCCGCAGGGTCGTAAGAGATAAAACGAATCACGACGTGACATTTGTGATCTGCTTGTTGCTCGTTTGAGGCCATCAAGATAACGGACGGTGATGAACAGGCGGTGAACAGTCAATGAAAGTAACATCAATGTTGAAACTTAAAATAAACAATTGAAAGAAAATAATTGGAGAAAAACGTCAGCTGAGACAAATTGAAAACTACCAAGAGATTTCTTCATGTGTTGCATTGATTTGATTGTCCATAATTAAACAATCCATATCTATTGCCTCGAATTGCATGGATGCATTGAAAAAAAACGATTTCTGCAAGATAAATATGCTTGGCCCAAGTAAGTATCTGGAATTTCGGCGTGAAAGCCCTATTTTATTCTCTTCCAAACCAATTTTTGAGTGTCTGTCAATTTAATCGTCATGTTTCTTTTAATATTAAAGCGAATTTCCAATTGCAAAAGCATTTGCATGGAAAAATTTTAGCATTCAGGCAACTCGCTCCTGTGTTGCTCGGTTTTGAGTTCATTCCTTTGATAATTTAGTGTGAAACATTCAAATTATAAAACTAATATAATTTGTTATAGCTTCCTCCGAGTTAATCATTAGATTTGAGTTTGATATGCCAGGCGACATTCATTCGAAAATTCGATGCCACATAGTGATAGTCGATTTCAATAAGATTTTAATGATTTCATCGAACCACTAATTACATCAGGGTACCTTGGTTTTTAAAATAATTTCAAATGATTCGGAATTTTCGCTTTCACCAATTTAATGGACAAGAAAGCACATGTTACGTACGCTGAGCAAAAAGACCATATACCTAAACACTTTTTTGTGTCTTAAATAAATATTTTATAGTAAGAGATTCTCACAAACCCCAATTGCGTAAAAACTGTCTATTGCACATTTTTGCACAATTATATGGATTTATTACATATTTTCCATGAGTTTTTATTCTGTGGCCGAATGTTAATTGGTCATAACGACATCGTGCGACAAAATTCGTATCCATGTTTTCCTGGAATTGCATTTTTTTCTAGTGGAAAAGGAATACATATAGAAAGCCTTGTGAAAGTTTATCAATGGTGTGTTTATAATTTGGTGGGGCTTTTGGAGAGGGATAAAATAAAAATAGAGAACGATTTGCTTGATGGAAACAAAAAATAAATGATATCAAAGGTTACATTATGGGGAGAGATTCACGAATCAAGTGAGATGCTCACAAAAGCATTTTCCAAGGAAGCAGAAGGGGTTTGGAAGGGGTGAAAGAGACAGTGGGAGTGAGTCAAATGCGATCCGGCATATAGACACACACACACGTCCCCTCCTCAACCCCTGACACAGGAGAAATGCGGAGATTGCTCCGGGGCTTTCGGGGTTGAGCATATTGAATAACTCGCTCGCTGGACCGCGAAAATATACCGCACCAGAGCTCGAGCTATCTCAATGCGGCAATACGTGTATATCCCGCTGGTATATTCGTTATGTATGGCTAGAGTTATACATGCCAGTGACTCTCCCATCGTTGGAGAGCGTATCGACATCACGGTGAAAAGGACCTGCACTGGATGCATATACCGGTCCTTTGCATGTATCCCATTCGCTTCGTTTTTCCTATATTCATACATTTTTCAACCCCTCTGCACACCATTTTTTTTTATTTCTTCCACAAATCTCAATGGATTATACTGGCATATGTGGAGTCTCTCGACAGCTCACTCGATTATTTTCATGTCATATCGTGCAAAAACTTGTGTAGAATGCACCATTCTCACCACACCAACAAATTTATATTTTCAAAATTCCAGTTAGAAATTTTGTAAATTAGCTGTGAAATATATGTTTTGTATATTCTTTATATAATGGGGAGAAACGTATTTTAAAAATCTTGAGACGATTTCAAAAGTTTTTTCATTAAGAGATTTCATTTCCGCTACAATTGAGAAGAGTCTTTCACACGCTATCGTTTTACTGAATTGTCCCTAATGTTAATGAAAAAATTAATGGAAAATTCAATGAATTCTCATCTTTCGGTAAGACGAGATATTGCAATATCCTTGACTTTTAAGGGATACTTGATAATTGTAGCCTGTTTCTTGGTTAATAGTTGGTTTCTTGATTTGACACCCCTCCTCGATCATTGAAAAATATATTGAAAAAAATATATAAAGCATATATTGAACACATTTTTCAAAATAAATCTGAATCCATTAACTATATATTTAACAATATAGCCCTCGAAATATGAATTTTCCTGTGTAGAAATTTGGATTTTTCTCTGGAGATTGCTTTGCAGTATTGTTAATACATTGATCGAACAAAAATGAAATGATGTGTGACTCTCCTCTGATTCATCCACCATCGCTCGAAATAGATTAATTAATTTTCAGATTGATTTAAAAAAGAAAATGGCGTTGCAATGATGATGGGGAAAACCCCTCAAGTATGGGACTTTTTGGTTTGGGCCATTCCCCCAGACTCATCATAAATCAAGTGACAAAGCCACTTGGGGGAGTACCCACACGACAAGAGTTCCTCTTCTTCTTTCTCTCACTTGTCATTGTTGTTTGAAACAAGCTGAGAGAATAATGACCGTAGCGATTGAAAGTGAGGACAGGAGACACAACAAATGGGTGAGGGTGGTTTCGACAATGAGACCACCAGTCAATACCTGGTGGTGTGAACCTGCGAGGACAGGTAATTACCTATCGTATTCCCCTGTGCAGGTTTCTTTCGCCCCTGGAGTGTCGATATGATGAGAAATGTTTCGCCGTTTAATAATGACTGGTAAGATGCCCAATTATCTGAAGTGTGGGGAAATCGGTTCGGAGAATCCATTACAGGAGAATAAGTACATTTTTCCCCAATTTTATAAGAGCATTTGCATTATTATCATTAATTGAAAATATCAATGTATTGTTGGAGTTAAAAGTTGAGGGAATATGAATATTTCCATTCGAAATTATCAAGGAAAACATTTGAATGGCTTGCCTCAAATTTAATGGGTTTCTCCTCCCCTCAATAGAGATTTGACTATCAGAAACGCGAATATAGCTGGCAAAATGTGATTTGAAAGACGTAATTCGAAAATCGAGGTTCCACGGTCCCGACGGCAGCGACCCTCCGTCGGACGTTGAAATGAAATTACTCGACCCTTGTCGGGGGATATGGAGTTTGCCAAAAAGGGGATAGAAGAGAATAACGTGTATAGAGTCAACGGGACCATACACCGTGCTTCTCCACAAAGCCCTCGTTTACTGAGGACAACACACAGAGAATATCAAGCCCTATTCGGTGCCCTGAAGGGACCTAAACCACTAAACGTTTTGTCATTAACTTCTATTAAATGTTTCTTAATGTCGACAATTGATTTTTCATTTTACCTCGAAAAATAAAAAACTCTTTAGACATCAAGTGTAATGAATTTAGATTGGCTGAATTGGATAATTCATTCGTAAAAATTGGGTTAAAACATCTATGAGGTTTGAAATTAAAAAAAATCACAACACGTACCTATTTTTAGCCGCCGCAGCCCGATCTCTCTGTCTCCTATTCTTGAACCAATTTCCCACCTGTGTAGGTGTAAGTCCCGTAGCAGCAGCCAATTCTCTCTTTTTTCCAGGATTTGGATAAGGATCCTGAAGGTACCACTCTCTCAACAGCGATCTCGTCCTTTCTTTGAAACAATGTGTCTTCTGCTCTCCATCCCAAATAGTTCTTGGCAATGGAAATTTCTTCCTAACTCTATACTTATCAACAGGACCGAGAGGCCTGCCTCTCAGTTTTTCTGCTTCCGAATAATGTGCCTCTAGCCACATTGCTTGCAACTTTCCATGGGAATCTTTGGTAAATTTATGTCTCTCCAATATGGCATAAAGTTCCCTATAGTGTCCTGAATGAAAAGCAACAATAGCCCTGGCTCTGAGGACAGCTTCACTCTGATTCAATTCTTGGATATTTGGATGTGCAACTGGTAAACTCCACAGAAATCTCGCTAGCCTCTCAATATCACCACTCTCCTCCAGTGTCTCACACACTGTTGCCACTTGGCTAACGCTAAATGATAATGTTGGCAATGCAAATATTGGTGCTGGTATTATTGGTCCATTACTACTAACCGCTGATGCAGCACCTGCTGGCGCCACTGCCGACATTATCTCGCCGATAAAAAATCTTATTTAAATGCCTAATTATCACTGTCACTTCACAACGGCATCGAAGTCCCCAAGTTTACCAAAAGCCTCAACTTGTACTTTCTCCTCATCTTGATTCCGTCATCGATTATCACAAACTTAGTCTCCAGCTGAAACTGTCACTTGTCACTTGCCCGAAAATTTACCACCAATTGTTGACATTTTCCCCCAAAACTAATGGTAATTAAATTAAAAACTAGAATGGTGGTACGGTGGTATCATGTGATGTGATGCTGGGGGGAATGAAAAATGTCTTTACCGAGGGCTATCACAAAAATAGAGGAAAGACGGTGAACTGGCTGTTGCCTCGATCGTATCGGATAGCAAACTGGTTTCGCTTACAACCCGGCATCTCGGTCCCGGCCCTACCCAGCATGATACGTTTGTACGCCCGTTGCACCAGGAGTCTCTCCATCGGTGCTACCTACTCCAACTTCCCAACATCCACCCCTCAACATTCTCCCCACCTTCTATATCTCTCCTGCTCTTTCCTTTTTCGCTCGAGTCCTTCGTTATCCCCACTATCCTCTCGTGGTATCAACCTTCCACTGGATACAACTGTCGGCCAATGACTAAGCCACGCCCATTAACCAACAGCCGATTGGCCGGATCCAGTCGTCGTTGCCGTGGTTACCATTCTTCTTGTGACACTGCATTGCTACCGTATGAAACTGTGTGAGTTTAATTATCCCCACTGGAATCACTTCTTTACCCCTCCCTCCTGCCACTTTCACAGCTTGGTGGGGATCATGTTTTACCACCCTCATATCAACCACTATATGTATATACCATATACGATTGTGCAATGTACATCCTCACGCCCCCCAACTACTCAGTGTGATTGTGAGTCTTTGTCACTCGGCGTTTCGTCGGAGCTCAATGTGCAAACCAACCTCATCCCACCTTACAAGTCCTCACCATCAGGATTACTTGATCTGAGAAGTAGTCGAGATAGTCGACGGGCATAGCTTCGTCTTCGCTGTGATTACGATGATGATATTATGGATTTCACTCTCTCTTATCAATCTTTCTCTTTCTACACGTTTTTTTTATTTCTCTTACGTATGTACGTTTTTTTAAAATGGTATTTATGCCAAATGTATATGAATGATTCGCATTTTATACTCTTCCATATATCTTTCATATACATCCGACATTTTTTTGTAAACAATGCAATATGTTACTTGTGATTATTTGCATTTGCATCTGCTCTGTAACCCTTTACTGGAATTTTCCACAAATCGTTTATTCTTCTTAGCTATCCGTCAAGTTTTCATGACAAAACTTTATTTGCTAAAGAAATTTCAAGATTTTCGTCAAAAATGGTTAATAATGGATAATATTCGTTTCAATCTATATCCAGCTAGAATAGAAATCATTGGAAATGATAAAATTTCGAGTGATTTTTCTTTTTAGTTGCGAATTTATCTGGAATAAAACCACAACAGTAAAAATAAATTTCGAAGGTATACATATATCAAAGTTTCGAAAAGCTTCTAGCAGTAAAAGAGCATCAGAAATGTTATGTTTTTTCTATTTTAATACCTAAAGCATAATCTGTTAGCTTATGCAATTCTCTATGGATTTAGATAAAGTGAGTGCAAAAAATTCTTATCCCTCCATGACAAAAAATTGTTGTCTCTCATACGATGATCGTGTTTTCCCCAAGATAATTACAAGAAATGAAAATGAGATTATGGGGTACAAATAGGCGAGGACAGAAGTAGTAGACAGGACGATAGATTACCGGCCTTTAGGCATTAGAAGGTTCAACGGATGCTCGCTTTTTCCCCTTTACCTGATTGAACGAAAAAGGTGCATTTATCGCCGAGAAGAATCTTTTAAATGAACTAGAACAATAATCTGAATATGGAAATGAATTCCTAAAAAGTGAAAGCTGGACATTATTCTTTTTCAATAATCCTAACAAGGACATTTTTGGAATTTTCGGAACAACCGAAATATATGAAATCTACTCACATAGAAACGCTTATATGATACAAATTATTTGCACTTCACGTTTTTATTATTTCCAATATATTGGAATATTAAATTATAAGTTTTACTCAACTCTGATTTCGAACTTTCCGATTTTTCATTCGTTAAAAAAATTGAATATATTTATAGTGCATGCACTAATATAGTAATGTGCTCTACAAATATATTATATATATTTACGCATGCAGGTGAATAGTATGTGAATAATATATTTCGATACAAGTGCGAGAGAGGGTGTTGGGCTCGTGAGAAGTTTACAGCTCCTAGTACAAATCTCAGCTCAATGTAATATCGCCCCAACGTTATACGGGCAAAGACACTGTCGTTCCGGCGCCTTTCTTGGACACCCTGTAGTCACTGTAATGTTGTCGGCAGCAGTTCCGCCAATGTTTTGTAAGATATATATTTTTTCTCATATCGCAGATAAATGCGTTAAAAATAACGAAAAACCGTAATAGAATCGGGGTGTCACGAAAAGCCATACTCACAAAGATTATGTGAATAACGATGATGTGAGAATTGAAAACGCCGTACCATCAAGGTATTTGATTAAAAATTTGATAAACTGATGGCAGTTCACCATTTTGCTACAGGACTATAGAATTTTTAAAAATGTGAATTTTCCTGCTGTTTCATTAGCTTGAACGCATGCGCTCGTCCGACTTATGTTTCGGCAACATTTTAAGCGACGTTTCATATAGGCGGGCGAGTTTGGCCCACACGTTTGAAGAAATACCGTTTTGTGTGGGCGGGCGCGTTCTCCACATACGCTTGGAAAAATCCATTCCACACATACGGACGAATTCGCCCACCAAATATCGCCCAAACGCCTGATGCTCGCCCATTCCGCCAAAATTTCTGCTAGGGGCACAACTCGGAGGTGAGTCATATAATCCTACATGTCTAAAAAACACTCGTCTGCGAGTATTGAATCCTGCTTTTTATCACAATGTACGTATGGGAAGCGGGGGTTTGTACAAAATGTCACTTTACACACAGTTTGTCGAAAAAAACTTTCCAACGTGATGACGTTTTTTTTACTTGTATCGTAATATACTATTTGACAATATTTTTTAATGATTTTAAACACGTAAATTGCGATAGGATTACAGGGAAAGGGTTTTGGAATCGTAGACTGGTGAAATGATATCACTCGCATTCGACTAGTATTATAAACGTCTCAATAACCTAAATACATATTCAAATATACTAGTTGATCACAATGCGCGTGATGTAAGATGCCACGTATACATACATAGCGTGGCTAAAAATATATTTCATATGATATTTGATTAGAAGGATTATTCAACCAAGGAAAACGATTTATTATTTATCAATTGAAAAATCCATTGAGCAGTTGGTAAAAATCAACATCTGGAAGCAATCTTCGCACAGGTACTTGCCGCTTCATCTTCACTTTTTTTCTACCATCAGTCGGCTGTTTTTATTTTTATTAACCTTGGGGTAATTTATGGGGGAAGGCAATAGCATCGGCGCCATTAAGCACTGGATATTTCTTGACGGCTCGGGTATCGATGTTTGCAGGTATGGACTGCAGAAAGTGAGACGGAGGAGTGAGAGGTACATATTGAGTTTATAAATTTTCTTAAATCAGGTGCTTAAGTCTGCTTGAGTGGGCTCATGCGACTCCTAGACTATTATTCAGTAAAATTAAAAACACGTGTTTCGGATCCTTGAAGGAAGAACGGAGAGGTGAGAGGGAAGCCCCGAAGAATTTTAACCCACAGTGGAGGGTTATTACGGAGAACCTGGTGAAAAATGTAAAACTGGGGATTCCCCCGAGGACTTTGAGGTGGGGTCAGTTGCTGAAGGCTCGAGGAACGGCTGGGGAAGTTTTCGAGGGTTTGTCGAGACGCCTGAGGTAGGGTAGGATTACGACAATGAGAACTACCAGCAAACCCCCTGAAGGGTGACAGTGGAGTTTTAACAGTGAGAGAGAATCCAAAGGTGGCAAATACTTATTGGGTCCAATTAGGCACTGGCTGGCTGGTCTTCTTTTCTGGGCCTCAAAGGGGTACTGTCATTTTTCTACCTTGTATTACATAATCCTGGGCACGATGCACTAATTTTTTTATGGCATATTTTGACAGAATATTTATCTGAACAAAGGAGTACGGTCCCTTTATTTTCTATTCAGTATAAGTCCACTGCACAAAGAACAAACATTCTAAATGTTCGAAAAATGCATAAATTTTATAATGTAATTTTTGAAGTGCTATGTAAAATCGTAATTTCTATTTATTCTGCGGAAAAACATTCTTGAATTAATACGCAAATATTCCTATTTTTTTGGATTTTCAAGGGGGAATTTTCCAACAGTCCTTTCTTAGTTTGCATATTTTTCTATTTTCCAAATATTATTTTAGATTTATAGATCTTCGTTTCGGGGCAGAATGGAGGACAGGATACTACATCGGCACTTTCCGGAATTTAGAAAGAATTAGATTATTTCAAGGAAGTTCACTCGAGAGATGATTCAATATTACGACACGATTTATCATTGAAAAAATGTAATATAAATACATGAAATTCTCAAGTTTATCGATAATTTTTTTAACGTTTAGAATTTTTTTTTGTATTCGCTCTGTTTTGAACTAGAGAATATAATCGCTAGATTTGAAAAATTAGACAAAATATGACTTCTAACCAGTACAAATTTATACATTGGAAACATTGAAGAAATACTCATACCAGTTCCAATTAACCAAATTATCATTCTGGAATAGAAATTAATTTTTTACTCTTTGGGTGATGTCCTTCATCTGTCAATCGATTGAAAATGCTACTAGAAGGGAGTATAGCTTTACGACTTCCTGTCAGCACTTTTGGAACTCAATTTCGGTACTTTCAACTCATGACAATGATTTTGAGAAGTGTATTGGAAAATATTTTAAATTGTCTCGCACGGAGAAAATAGCTTTAACGAAATTTATCCTAATGCT